GGGGTTCCACGTTCTTAGTCAAGGAAATCGTACCCCACCCCCAAACTACCCCCAAGTCTCCAAACTCTCTGCCACTCAAAACCAATAAACCAAAGATAAAAACGCCCACCACCTGCACTCATACCAACAACATATGAAATCCCTGTCTCATATTCTGTCCACTTGCAGCGCAGAACGATTGCGTGCGTCGATGACGCCTTTTGCACAACAGCTAGCCCCATCCTCACGCCGGCGCTTCCTCTGATTCGGTCACACACAGCCCCAACCCAGCAGACCAAAAGCAGAACTCACCTACTGCACGGCGGTACGGCACCTGACGCAGCACGCGCTCTGCTCGACGTGGGGGATTTTTAATACCGACCTTACCTTACTTACCAAACCGATTTTCCTTCTAGAAGACTAGATTACATAGGTGCGCGACTCCACACGGCCTACCATCTCCCCCCTTTTTTTTTTTACCCCTCCACCACCACGACCCCCCCAACCGAGTGTGCTTATTAGTCGTGTCTGGGAACAGACAGACAGACAGCATCGTGCGGCGCATCAAACATCACACTTACTTTGCTTATCCGACAAGGCAGCTTATCTATTCTGCTGTCTCTTTCTTTCTCACTTTACTCAGACGCTTACTGGCTTCTGGTGATTTTCTAGGCTGAACAAAAGTGAGAGAGCGCTCATACCCCAGTCACTCACCGACGTGTGAGAAACCCGATAAGCGGGTTGCTGCCGTCTTGTTTTGTGGTGGTGCGAAGCGAGAATACCTTATCTGCTTCACTTAGGCCGCTCACAGCCGTTGCGATCCCTCGGGATTGTGAGCGAGGGAAGCAACACCACTGTTGCTGCTGCTCCTCCCCCCTAACGGGAAAAGAAAAAAGAAAGAAAAAAGAAAGAAAAAAGAAACGTCACCGATTTAACCATGGGTCTCTTGTGCGTATATGGGTTTCCTCCTTTCACTATTTATGACGCCATTTTGCTGATGAACTCGTTTTGCAAATAGGGCTCTGGGGACGGCTCTGGATTGGCCAGATGCCAAGAAGCAAGCACATCTCGTCAGAGCCTGGGGCATCAAGGTAAGCCCCCCTGCCTATCTGTCCCACAGCTATTGGTCCGGAATACTCGGCAGGGCTTGCGTTGGTAGCAAACATACTGACTTGGTGGTGCAGCAACTGCTCGAGATATGGAGCAAGGCCAAGGGAAAGGAAAGAGATGCCATGCTTTGGGGCGATGAGGTACGTACACTCACACCCCCGTTATTTGATATGGTTTGGATTCGTCTCTAACTTGTCTGATAATAGGTTGAGTACCTGGTTGTGACATATTCCAAGGACGACCCCCGGGTTCTACTGTCATTGAGACAGGCAGACATTCTCACAGCCCTCGCAAACGACAAGAGTCTCTCTGGCAAAGGTGGGTGTGTCCCTGAACTGCAAGATGCTCCCAACTCTCGGTAAGAGGCCCTGTAGGACACGCACGGATCTGCTTCAACAGAAACTGAACTGTGGTGGACTAATTTCATCTATCTAGGCCCAATGAGCCGCTTGTCGTCTTCCATCCCGAGTTTGGAAGGTTCATGCTCGAGGCTACCCCTGGAAGACCATGGGGTATTGACTTTAGGGAATTGTTGGACGTTGAGCCAAACATGAAGTTGAGGAGATGCATCGCCAAAGACCACATGCTGCCCAACGAGCATCCCATCACGCTCACAACCTTTCCGCGCATCGGAAGTCCGGGCGTGTTTACCGACCCCTATTACCCCGTGTCGGGCCCCAGGCTGAGGTCCCAGTTCGTGCCCGACGAGATCGCCAATCCCCATATCCGCTTCCCTACCTTGGCTGCCAACATCCGCTCCCGCCGGGGTCGCAAGGTCCAGGTCAACGTGCCCGTGTTCCGGGACGAAAACACGCCGTGGCCCTGGAAGGACCCAACCGTCAACTATGACCTGCACCAGTGGCCCGAGGACGAGGATGTACGCACCGGTGGCGCCGCACCAGACAACTTTATCCACATGGACGCCATGGCGTTTGGCATGGGAAGCTGCTGCCTGCAGATCACTTTCCAAGCCAAGAATATCACCGAGGGCAGGCGCATGTACGATCAGCTGAGCCCGCTGGGGCCGATTCTGTTGGCTTTGACCGCCGCTACTCCTGTATACAAGGGGTTTCTGGCCGACACGGATGTGCGGTGGAACCAGATCAGTAAGGCTGTCGATGACCGGACGGCTGAGGAGATGGGCGAGAAGGTGAGCCACAACTGACTTACTCGAGTGAGACTAATACTGACATGTGAATATAGCCCCTGAAAGACTCACGCTGGCGCATCCCCAAATCCCGCTACGCCTCCAACTCAACCTACATCTCTACCGACCCGCGCCTCCGCCCTGAATACCTCGACCCGGATCTGGTAACCGACCCGGCCATCAAGCAGCAGCTCATAGACGGCGGCATGGACGACCTGCTCGCCACCCACTTTGCCCACCTCTTCATCCGCGACCCCATCGTCATCTTCAACGAGGACCTGCAGGAGCTCGACCTCAACAAGACGGACCACTTTGAGAACATCCAGAGCACAAACTGGCAGCACATGCGCTTCAAGCCGCCGCCGGCCGACAACAGCATCGGCTGGCGCGTCGAGTTCCGCCCAATGGAGATCCAGATCACCGACTTTGAGAACGCGGCCTTTACCGTCTTCATGGTGCTCATGACGAGGGCCATCCTCAGCTTCGACCTGAACTTTTACATACCTATTGTCAAGGTGGACGACAACATGGAGAGGGCGCACGCGCGGGATGCGGTTCTCGAGGGCGAGTTTTGGTTCAGGAAGAACCCGTTCCCCGTGAGGGTGTCGCGGGCGGCGACGGCGAGCGCGACGCCCTCGGGCGCGAGCACGCCTAATGGGACGGGGGGGGCGGGAACGTGTTTAGCAGGCCGCCGACGCCGGGCCCGGTGGAGGATGAGTACAGGCTTATGAGCGTTAATGAGATTATCAACGGGACGGCGTATGCTAAGCGGTCATCGTCGGCTGCTGCTGCTGCTGCTGCCGCTACTACTGCTGACGGGCAACAACAACAAAAGACGGAAGGAGAGGAGGATGTGGATATGGACGATGATTACGATGACGACGACGACGACGACGACGACGCTAACGACTTTCCCGGTCTGATCCCCCTGGTAGAGAGCTACCTCGACTCGGTCAACATCGACGTCACGACGCGCTGCCAGCTTGCTACCTATCTGGACCTGATCAGGAGGCGGGCCAGCGGCGAGCTGTGGACGGCGGCCAAGTGGATCAGACACTTTGTGGCGACGCATCCAAAGTACGAGAGGGACAGCGTCGTGTCGGAGGAGGTGACCAAGGACCTGGTCGGGGCGATTATCAAGATTGGCGAGTGCGAGCAGAAGGGCAAGGGGTTCAATGGGCTGGTGGGGGATGCCGAGGTTCCTGCTGTGGAGAGGGTGTTGGGGGGGTTAGGAGGGGGTGTTCGTGATGAGCATCTTAGGGAGATAGGGACTGGTTCTAGATATTTGGAATTTAGGGGGATGACTTAGAGTGTGGCTGGCTTGATTGTTTACTTGTTGGTTCGTATTTCGCATAGATGATGCTTTTTTCCCTTCATGTGCGGTGCATACATATTCACACTTGGTACATGTACAGATACATACTTGCGAGGACTGTCTTTCTGTCGGCGGATATTTGGTTGGCTGTCTTCAAGAAATCTGGGTGGCTAGCTATGAACATGAAAGCTGTGCTTTGCGAATACAATCTTGAAAGGATGCCCAGAAGTGTAGTTCGGGGTGGTGAACTGGTGGATTACCCCGTGGATGTGTCCACTGCCCTTCATGATAGATAGATTATCTATCTGTCTCTCAAACTGTCCAACATGTAGCCTACCTTTATCCTATCTTACCTTGCCTGCCTTGCGTTTCTCATCACCAGCTGGTCATGTGTACGTAACTCACTGCACGTCCACCCGCCCACTCATCCATCCATACATACATATGTATTGCGATAACTTAGACCCGCGTGTTCGGGTAGGTGTGTATGCGTTTGTGTTTGTGTGTCTGTCTGACCTGCCTGCGTATATGTAGTATGTAGCATGAATCTGCAAGATCATTCATTATCTGAATCAACCGCCCACCTACCTACCTACCTTCCTAGACACCTACTAGGTACATACGGTAGCCAACCAAGCCAAGCCCAAACCAAACCGATGACCACTCATCACGGCCAGAACTAGCATACTACTTACTACTACTGCAGGCTGCCGCCGTGTTGTATGTGTAATGAGCAACAGCAGCAGCAGCGGCAGCGACAGCGACAGCAGACTGAGTCTGAGACATTTGCCATTTTTTTCGCGGCCGGAGCGGATAAGGGGCGTGTATGCGGTGTGTGACTGGCTTGGCTGGCTGGCCGTTTCTTCATCTACTCGAGCCAACTCGTGCTGCTTGGCTGCTTCTCTTCCAGCAGACTGGGTGGAGTAATTAGTTGTTTCACTTGATTATATCCAGTTCCGGCGCCCATCCGTCTGTCTGTCCGTCCATTTGTCTGCCGTCTATCTGCCCTGACTACGTAACCGGCTTGGTTCTGTTTGACCCTTGATCCTGATCACGGGTGGGTTTGGTGTTGTGGACGGGATGCAAGATCAGATGAGACGAGATCAGATCAGATCAGATCAGATCTGGGTCACAGTCACCGGACTGGTTTCTCATATGCACATTTGTTTCAGAACTGTGCTTGCTTGTGTGGTGCAGTGTGGTGGTGGTGGTGGTGGTGGTGGTGTATCGTGGGAGGGGAAGAAGAAAAAAGGATAGCTGCAGTCTGTTCTGGAAGGTTTTTGGGTTGAGTTGGCTGCTTCGATATTCTTGCGAGCTCGTTGGCGGTCTTGGAGCGCTTGATATTATTACTATCACATTTTTCGTCAGTAAAGATAAACAGCAACATTGGCTGCTCTCATCTCCCATTCTGGGAATGGGAAGCACTGTGAAAAAGAAAAGCAAAAATGAGGGCCTCGTCGGGATTTGAACCCGAGACCTCGCACATGCTAGCACCTTTTACAAGGTGTGGGAGTTACCCGAAGCACGAATCATACCACTAGACCACGAGGCCATCTATTGGTGGTCTGAAACCAGAATTTAGTCCTCAAGCAGTCCCAACAGTTTTACTTGAGAACTTCACAACCACATAGCCAACTTGACGAAATTCAGTTTTCATTCATGCTCTTGTTAACGTTCTTCTGAGAAATCAATTGCTGAAACTTAAGTCCCTTGTACTAGACCGCTAATAGCCATGATTGGGGGTTTACTAACACAACTGTTTGTGCTTGCACTCGCCGTGGGAGAATGAGCAACATACATCTGCTGCAAAGTAATTCAGCCGATGCAGCGAAGCGATGAACGTGGAAATAGCTCGTGGTGATAATGTAGATTCTGATAGGGACTTCTTCTTGACGTCTTCTTCCGGTCTCACACATCGGCACACTATCGAATGGGACATGAACAATGGGGAACTAGTAAGAGACATTTGTTTGTGGACTTGTCTAGGCGGGATTCCTTTTTGAGTTGGGCTGGCCAGGCTGTCTTGGATGAGAAAGAGGGTCTCGTTTTCCAGACATTCCATATCGCACTATAGCATGAAAGCACGGAATGGTGGGCAGAAGTTGGTCATGTGGTTGGGTGTTGTCTTGGTTCATCATTCTTTTTGATTTTCTTTTCTTCTCCTTTTCGAAGTGAGCGTGCGGTGTACTGTATTGTCCCTACTATTGTCTTAAGGTATGCTGTACTGCGTTACACTGTTTCAACAATCTGCTATCTTGGTCTTTTGTTCTTGTATAGTCTAATATGCGTTCAAATCTTGATTGACTGACCGAAAATAACACATTGCTGGAATGCTTATTTGGTCTAGTTCGTTTAATGAGATGGTGTCAGGATGGGATGCCCGTGGTGTGATTGATGCATTGCCCAGTCCTGCAACAAGATATAAAAGGAAAGAAAAAAGGAAAGAAGGGATGTGGCTTGATAGTTGGAGTGTTTCAGGCGTCTCCCGAGTGCACGACTAGATGACGGGACGTACAGGCGGTTGGAGCGGAAAGGAACGTCTACCAGCACGGGAAAGCATGGAACAAGGCATAGAAGACATTCGAATTCCCTTCTCGCGAGACTTTGGTGTTAGACATACATGGGGATAGTCTAGGCTTGATCTTGGAGAATGGCTGATAACAGGCATAATGTAGTAATTATATTTGCGCTCATGTGGGTGATGTGTGGTCGAGACAAAAAGCCAATGCTGCCTTTTCATGTTCTTGATTTATGTCTTTTCAAGGGTGTGTAAGAGCAGTGCCAATATGCGCCAATAGCTTGACCCTAACCCTGCGATAGTCACTTGATGCTTTCTTGGCCCTAGCCTGGGAATTCAACCCTTGCACACACCCCTTGCACGTGGAGCAGATCTGGTTTGCAATCGAGATTAGCCAACGATTGGATCTGTTCCCACTTCGATCCGCCCGCCCGCGTGTGCCGCTGTGCCGTCCCTGTGCGGGGCGCAAAGGACGGGCGGTAGGAGGGGTAGTGTTTTCATGTCACTAATACGGGATGCTACAAGGTGATAAAAATAAACATCAAAATGGCCAAGGTCGAAACCAAACGCGACAAAAGAATCGAGCCAGCCATCGTCAGTTCATTCTATAGGATGGTGGCCCCGAGTGCACCCCATAATCCGCGTTCCCGACCGGGCCGGACGGATGGTGAAGACAACGAATGACTAGGTAGGTAGGTATTTGGGAACAAGACGGAAGATAACTGCTGTACTGTGTAAAAGTGGCCCCACCACGGTGAAGGGCACGAGAATAGTACGTCATACGTGTCCCAGCTCCCTCAAGGACAAAACTGCTTACACAGTAGAAAATGGGATCATTCTGTTCCCCCATTGCATATCATTGGCGGCGCTAGGCCCGGTCTCGGCCTGCTCTGCTACCTGGCAATATATTAAACAACAGAGCACAGCATGCAGGTTCCTCTCCTATATATGCATGCAGGGCCACGCCATCCATACATCAAAACCCCCGCCAAGCCCAATCCTCTCTTGTAATGTGCAAAGGGTTGCCTGACACGCAGCTCAAGAGGAAAATCATGAGGCAGGAGTGGCCGATGGGATGTTGATACTGCACGTTGCCGCTGCACGCGGCGCACTGTAACAAGCAGTCGTCGCCTTTTTCTCCATTTCCTCCTCTCCCTCTCTCTATCCTCCCATGATCGTCACTTCGGTCAGCGCAAAGAACTACGCACAAATTGGGTGTGAGTGTGTGGTTGTTTGTGTGTACCTACCCTGTCCTTGTCCATGGTATTTCTTTTCCCCTCTTTTCTTTTTCTTCTTTTTCTTTCCCTTGCCTGAAGACGCCAACCGCATGAGCTGAAAGACTGTGATGAAAGTCGGACGGTAGAAGTCAGGCAGAGGCAGGCTCTCCATGCGCGATAATCCAGTCAAGGTAAGGTACAGTACATACATGTAGACATAGAAGGTACATGCCAGAAAAGTACTGCACCTCCCCAGCTAGTACAGCTGCAATGTCTACCGGCATCCAATGTGGGGGGAGATTTAGAGTGTCAAGGTACCACTTATGTACTCTGCACCTGGCCAAGCAAGGCAAAGCCTGGACCAAGGTCCATAGGTCGGCCGCTCCTTCCTAAGGTACGTCGGGTCCCGTTCTAGGCGGCTGTCTGTGTCGTTCTGCACCCATGGGAAGCTCCTTCCTGGCTGTCCTTCAGAACTCGACTACACTAAGGTACGCTACTGCATGCAGCAACGGGTAGGTACGAACAACGGGAGCGAAGTTGAAGCCCGAACTTGGGTCCTGCCTGTCTGCCTGCCTAGCCGCTGCGCTTGGGCTCCGTGTTCGTTTCGTTTTTTAGGCAGGTTCCGATTCCATGACCCGTCACCACCCGCCTGCCCTCCTCCCTACTCGGTACCTTACCTACCTACCTTACTTCACCATGTCCCGCCCGCCCGCCGCTTCAATTCCATCTCTCTCGCCGTGTGCGAGCCCGGTACTGGTTGCCTCGCTACACCTTTGGATGTCGACAATTTTTCATATTCTCTGGGCAGGCAATGAGGTAGGTTACCCCTCGCACTCGACCACGGATGGGATCGTATTCATGCATCCGCGAGCCTCCACCACACGTTGTGTGTATGTGTAATTCCTGCTGGCGATTTTGTGTCCTTGTGTCTTGTGGCATGGTGTCACATTACATGGCCTCTCCTTCCTCTTTCTTTCTCTTGTTCTCCCATTCATCTTGATTCTGTGGACATTCTTGCACTGGCTCTCGCCGTACGAGCGGGGAGACCAGAGAGAGAGCGCACGGCGATCCTGTAGGCAAGTGCCGTTGCCGCACGTCACACCGAGGAGGGGGATTAGCCGATGGGTACTGGTTAGAATCTTAGTTTTCTTCCGCACGAACACAGGCACGTCTAATGGGCACACAGGCGCCCGCGCCCGCCCGCCCAGAAGCATACCTACCTTACCTATCCGTAAATCGATATTTGGGGGCAACAAAGCAAGAAATGCGTTCAGGAAAGAGAGGGACACAGTACACATACAAACTACCTACCACCTATCTATGTTGTTCTCTTTTTCTTCTTGCATGTCTTCCTGTTTGTTTTCCGTTACCTGCTACCTCTGTCCGCCTGTCTGCTCGCCTTGCTTGTCGGTGTCGGCGTCGGTGTGCTGAAACTGGGTTGGCGCACCTTTCTCCTCTTTCTCACTGCCCCCTTTCTTTTGTTATCTCGCTCACAGCGCGGATATGCAGCCCTGTGACAAGCCTGACTCGACTCGCAGCACTTATGTTGCGATGCGGGGCAACTTGGCTTGGCTTGGCTGTTTTTGTTGGGAATAATGACGGTGCCAACTCAAGCGACATACGTACTGTGTTTCCTGTCTGCCTGTCGTGCTTAACCTCGCCCCTTTTCTATTCTTCTCATAGGCCCGTCCAGTAACCCGCCTCAAGATAGAAGTTAGCCCACCATCCCAATAACATGCCTACCATTATCCCATACAGGGGGATTGCGCAGTACTACCTTTTTTCTTGTCATACCAGGCTCTGCGCTCCTGCTTCTTATCCCTTCCACAATCTCGATAGATAGCTACGTGCCATCAAAGAACCAACCGGCCGTCTGGTGTGCATCCCACGATGCACGTGTGTGTATTGTGTACTGTGTTAGTTGCGCCCGGTAAATGTGCGATTTCTCAAGATCCGTAGCACCGCCTAGATAGCCTATATAGTCTGTACTGTGTTGTCGACCTAGTCATTGAGAAGAAAAGAGAGACAAGGATGGCTGTTGTCACACAGCATTTTGCTGAATAAGAACAATTTTCTGTTCCCTTCTTTTCTTTTGGCCCAAGCCTAACATACCTCCAGTCACCTACGCTACCCGCAGCCTCGTTGTCGCCCATCGTCGCCTACCGTCGGCCCCCTATTCACGCTCGGAGCGGCAGACAGACGATCACTCAGCCTGACCAGGATGTCCTTGTTTGGCACCCTGATCTAACCTGACTAACAAACTGATTGACGGCTGTTTATGACTGCGCATCACATCACGACCTGCCTGCCTACAGCTGACGACATGACTTCGGGAATAAAATGGTCTACGTGGCTTGCTTTGAGTCCGGTCAGTGAATGCAGAGTCCATGTGTTGTCTTGGATTCCCTTTAGATGGTGGAATTGAAGGACCATCTCATCCGCTCGCTCGCTCGCTCCCACCCTCTTCCCGGCAGCAGCAGCCCATCTGGGCATCAACAACACACGCTATTCTGCGGATATACGCTGCCTGTGTGTGTCTCATCTTGTTCCATGTCTCACCGCCGTCTCTTCCGTCTTTGTTCTCTGCTTGTCTCACTCAGAGTTGCATAGGTATTTCCCAAATCTCAGACATACACACACCTACCGACACTAATATCCTAAACACAACCTAGCCCCCCTATCGGTAACTAACCTTGTCCCACTTCGGCATCTGACCACAGAGAAGGAGAAAGACATTTCTTTTGTCTCTCTCTGCCCTGGTGAAGATAAGTGCGTGATAGGTGGATATAGGGTGTGCTACTAATGATGTGTGCGTAT